GTGAGCATAAACAACCACAAAGGAATATGCTTTACTGTCTCCTACATGTTCCAGTGGCGTGGAAACAACCTATGACACCCATGTGTTAAAGCACAAAATCTCTTCACCCACCTCCTCTGTCTTTTCTCTCCTTTCTTTCCACCCCCCCTCCTTGTATCATCCCCCTTTTCTCCACCTCCTTCCCATGGCCTCAGGGAGCTGTTAGCTATCTGGATGCTGGCGCTCTATTGTGAGCACTCATTGATTGCCTCTGTGCTCTCCACAGCCAGTCGGGCCAGTCAGCATGGGGCCCCGACTGTCTGCCTTATCTGCCACTGTTCAGTCGACATACACTGCGAAAAAACAGAACAGAAATGGAGAGAACAATTGAGAGAGAGAGAGAGAGAGAGAGAGAGAGAGAGAGAGAGAGAGAGCATTTATAAAAGGCTGTCCAAGCTTCCAGAAGCCAGCAGTCGACTCATCTGTTTTCTGTCCCTTTCCCTCTCGCTCTCAGCTCCTTGTTCTTCTCGCAGCCAGAGACAATCAATGGTGTACTCAACCAGACTTCTTCTTGTCTTGTTTTAAAATAGTGCTCTTCTGCCTTTTCTCTGCAGGAGATGATCCGTTTACTGCCCCAGAATCTTCTCTACTAATATTAACCCGTCTTTCTCCTCCTATTCCTTCAGTCAATCAGTTACATCACTTTCACAAACGAAAATATAGGATATTTAACACAGGTTCAACCCATATTTAACCGTTCGTAACAGACTATTGATCAGTTAATACCAGGTTGTTGCCTTCAGCTCAAGTGCTGAAATGATTCGTCAATTGTGCAATTAGTCAATCAAAAGAAATTTTATTGATCATTTTTGCATTCATCAAGCACAAATCGCACTCTCAGAAACTGCATTTTCTTTTACATCACAACTAAAACACACATCATATATCTCTGTTGAGGGTCTTGTATACAAAGAATGTGGAATTTCAATGCCATTGAAAGTAACACGAGCATATGAGTAAAAAGTTTTTTATTTTAAGGAACATGTGCTACTCATGTGTCTTTTAAAAAAATTAACTTCTTCTACTCTTTACTCAAGTATATTTTTTACCTCTTACTCTAAATGCTGGAATTGAGTGTGCGTGTGTCTTTTTACTACAATGCAATGATGAAGGAGCAAAACCCCCAAAAGAGGTAACTTCCAGTGACAATACCCGACCTTACATTCTGGACACTTTTTATAACGAAATCTGAAAGACAGTTACATGATGAGATCTCTGCGGCCTCTTCTAACCTCCATAAGGATATTCAAGTAAGTTGCACATACTGTAGGTGAAAATGGAGTTAGCTAGCTGACGGTATCCTATCTTAATTTTTCATGTGTAACATTAATCTTTGATGTTATGATAATGGTTTGTGTGTGAGTAACATCCAGGAAGGTCTATTGGCAGAAATGTAATATAATATTCATACGTTTTCATTAGTGTATAATCACTGAATATAGGAATCATCTTCTCTCAACTTCTACTTTCATAGTTGCATTACTAATCACAAGTCATTTATTAACCAAGTACATTTTAAGTTTCCTGAAGTAGGTTCTCAAATGATAATTTTCACTTTTACTTGAGTCATTTTTTATGGGAGTTATTGTACTTTTACTTTAGTAGATTATCAGAACTCTACCCACCGCTCACTGCAGAATTGTTGTTACATATACATCATGGTGCACTGTGTGGATGATCTGATGTAACTTCATAGGCTTTCTATGGTCAGTTTATGAAAGGTTAATGCCATGTCTCATATACTACACAGTTATGTTAAAGGGTCTTCTCAGAATTTATGGTGGAAATGGTTTAAGATTGCTAATAATCTGATGTAGTATGGTTATTATTATCATTATCATTTTACTAGAGTTACCGTATGGCAATCATGTGGTTACCATAGTAATCCTTGTTCATCAATCAGAGCTGGACTTTTTTAAAATCTGCTCAGGAGCAGTGTAACTGACCAGAGACAAGCGAAAATAGCCTTTTTTCAGTCCTTGCTTCAGTGTGAAAAGGGAATCAGTCAGTCACTCTGTACTCCTGATGATAGAACTTGTTTATTAGTATTGCAGTGTAGTGTTTTCAGTAGCAGGAGCCTCATGGTGGCGACAGCAGGGTGGCACTGTAAACAACCATCACACCTCTCCGTGAACGGGAGAGCTGATGTCAGCACAACTGAAAGTCTCCCTCCATCATGTAGCTACATGAAGCCACAGCGGCATCCATCACTCCCCCTGCTGCCTCTACAGAGAGAATCCTTGTCACCAGCACAAAGCCTACAGCAAGGTGGCCGCGAGAAACGTACATCATTTCAACGCGAGTCGGAAGCCAAGTTGGGCCTTGATCATCACTAATGTTCTGCGGTCTAAACAGTTTTCATATGTTGATTTAACACACTCCAACACAATGCAATATGTATTAACCTTGTCGGAGCATGCTTCATTGAGAGTTCTCTTTGTTCTCCTTTGATGCATTCATTCAGCCCTTTGAAAGACTGCACGTATGAAATTATACACAGAACCAAGTCACCCCACCTATAATCCATCCATCTTGTTGGCAGCCATCTGGCCATATTATTTTGGAGAGGCTGAGGCGCACGCCTTGCTATGAAAGCGAGGGCTTCTGACGACAAGCCATTGTTTGAACTGGAGAGAGACCCGACCGGCTGCAGGCCCCCCTGACACCCGTAACAGGCCTTGTCGCCTTAAGTTGGTATTAAACAAAAACTTGATGGATGATCCAGAACATATAATATTATGATAGGACTGAAACCTAAATGGCAAAAGCCAACAATAGGTCTGTCAGTTGTCGATCCCATGCTCTAAGGGGAACTGTATTAAAGGAAGCTATACTTGTCTCCGACTAAACTGAAAAAAGGGTTCAAATTGTCTGACAACAAGAAGCCTTGAGGATTTTATGAGAAACCCTTGCATATAGGACGTGTCTTATGTGAATCACAGCGTCAACATCAATATCGCTGTTGCAACACGGCAGGTGAAAAACATCAATAACAGAAGCAGTGTCAGGACAAAGACACGGGCCATCTCGACAAGCTATTTCCAGAGGAAAAAAAAAAATCTGATCATGAGTTCAAAGCTACAGCATGGTGACATTGACCACTCACCCAATCTCCATCTAAGAAACAACTCACCCCCACCCCCCTCCGAAATAAAAATGAGTGACTGCCAGAACCGCTGATGTCACTGGACGCATTTGTCCCCGATCAGTATGGCGAGCTGCTTGGACCAGGGGGCTGGGGTGTCCTTGAGACAGTATGATAGAGACACCAAACCCACCCCCCACCCCCACACCCCCTCACTTCACTGCTGATACCATGTTCAGGCACTCACTGCATCAGTGTCAGGAGCCCTGCAGGCAGGAAGCTAAAAAGGACGGCAGCCCCTTCCTTCCCTTCAAAGAAGAGAGGAGCCTGGGCCGGGAGGAGCTGCTGACAGGAATTTGACCCCCAGGACTGATGACATTATGTGAAGGGAAATTGTGAATTACCTTTTCAGTAGACCTAATCTTGTCACCTTTATTGATGATCTTGTATCTAAATTTATCACACAGCCACAGGAAATAAGGTGTTTGTAAAGTGCACACACTAGGCCTGCTTTATTGGGATTGTTTATTTGCCGCGACTGATCTGCCACCCCATTGTTATGTTTTTATTTTTTCTGTAAAAAAATAAAATTAAAAAAAAATAAAAATAAATCCAGTGTGCAGGCACAGCATGAGGAGTGAGTGATTCTATCTGATGCACTGCGAGCTGAGCGGCCCTCCCTCTGGGCAGTTCAGCCTTGCCTGACTAGGAAGAGCTTGTGTGCTGGCCTGCGCGCGTGTGTGTGCTGGCGTGCGCGCGTGTGTGCGTGTCGGGAGGGGAGACATTGTTCCTTGACGTCACCGCTCAGCCCAGCCTGCCGCTGCTCTCAAACACGTCTTTGTTATTCCGAGGCTTCCACCGGAGACCGGCCATCCGCAAAACACGGAGCCCCTCCGCCTGAAGACCTGCTGGAGCGGGGCGCAGGTTGCAAAGGTTCACACACACACACACACACACACACACACACACACACACACACACACACACACACACACAGGAAGCTGGAAGTGACTTGAGAGTAGTCAGGGCAAAAAAACAACAACTGACTTTTACTATTACTACTGCAATATACAATACAATATAGGATTCATATTACATTATTATTATTAGAATTATTATTATTATACAATTAGAGACTTTATTATTAGTTAATTTTGTTATATTACCAATAAAATAACACTTAAGAAATATAGGTTTAATATTTTTTAGTAACAATAAACTCCATTATTATTATTATTTTCTTTGACTAATTTTTAGACGATTAACCAGCAACAATTCTGATAATCAATTAATTGTTTAAGTAATTGTTTCAACAAATATGCCAAACTGTCTGATTCCAGCTTCTTAAATGTGAAGATTTGGTGATTTTCTTCGCTTTAAATGCTATTAAATTGAATGTATTTTAGTTTTGGGGAGTATTTTATATACAAAACTTTTACACTGTTTTACGATATTATTGACATTAACATTATTGTTCTTACCAGTGACATAATAAAACTTATCATTTTTGCACCATTATTAATATTAATATTGTGTTGTTATTGTTGTTAATCGTATTAATAAGCTTACCACTGATATATACTCTACAGATAGTCCAGTAAAATGTTTTGTATTCCTAACTAATGGCTAAAAGAACCTCACTCATAAAATGAACTTGTTGAATTAACTAAATAAGTAGTGGTTTGATTACAGAAGGCAGCGCTAAAGCGGCGGCGCTGTAATGATACAGGAGCAGACAATAGCCGGAGCTGTGAGCTGCACTCCGCTCCAGTGTGAAATGTGCTGTTAGCAGCCTATTAGCGTATAGTTACACCTTTACAGTCGGTGTCCTTCCGCGGGAATCTAGGTCGCATTTTCACGACGACCGCGGAGCACGGCTCTCTCTGGTAACTGAATAGCCAGTGTAATCTGACACTTCAACTTGCCGTGCTCTACGGTAGTTGATTCAGTCAGTCACTCACACCGTCTCCGGGGCTCTCGCGTCGTCTTTGTGAAGTGGAGGGAGCGAGCGAGAGGAGCACCGTAAACACGAGGTTTTGAGAGAAAACAATACGCGGATTTACCACTGAGGTCCTAGCTCAAAGTAAGTTTCGCGCCTGGTTATTTTTGGTTGCAAAGCGGTCTGTGAACGTTGTGTGTGTGTGTGTGTGTGTGTGTGTGTGTGTGTGGTTTTGCTCGAGATGGGGTTTGCCCTCCCGCTGGACAGATACTACCTGCTAACAATAGGGTGACCTCCTGGAAACCTTTAACAGCCGCTGGTGAACTCGTGTCAGAGGTAAGGGGGTGGGTGGGGGGGCAGATTCTGGCTGTGTGAGCGGCAACGGAGCGCCTTTACGCGGCGTTAATATCCCAGCCTGTGCGCGCTGTGGATCCCATGTCTCTGGCTATTTCGCTCCAGCGCAACTCGTCCACACACATAGAGGCAAAAGTCAATGTGTCTGCAGGGTTATTTCAAAATAAGGTGCATTATGCATTTTGTGAAGACACTAGATAGGTATGTGGTAGTAACTCAGTAATTGCAGGTCTGTGATTGTGTGTGTGTATATGTGTGTGTGTGTGTGTGTGTGTGGGTGAATGTCTCGTCTCGGTCGATCAGCTGATGGCTCGGTTGATGCTAAACTGAGAATGTATGTTACATTAGCTAACAGTCAGCAATGTGACTGGGCTTGTTGACTTTTCAAGGCTACCTGTTGTAATACAATTAGCGAACATTACTATACGTTACTATGTTCTGTTCTGTTTAACACCATGTTCTGCGGCTTCTGTGACATTTCCCACCTCGGTGTGCACTGATATCACTGACTGTGTTGATTGGCTCCTCTAGGGGTCATTCAAAGATCAGTGGCTCCCAATGTGAGGTCACTGGGACCCTCTGGGGCCTTAATGGGCTCAAGTAAACTGATTGATAATTTACTTTCACAATTAATTTTAATGCTCTGAACATTTCTGTTAAGACAGTGGTTAGGTGTGAGTGTCATGTCAAGTGTCCACTCTCTCCGTGGATTCACGTGCACCGAAGTCTTCACTGCACACACACCCTTAATGTGTCAGTACAAATTAGTCTACACATGCATACTGTGCCACAGTTTTTAAGCCCTTCTGCAGCCGAGTGTGGATGAGCTGCTCGACTCAGCGCAGCTTTTTGACTTGAGTCTGGTGGACCCTCCCTGTAAAAATTCCTCCCATCTGGATGTGAGGCCAGCCGGGGCAGAGCGCAGCAGAGAGGGGGCTCCTGACAGGAGGAGGAAGAGGAGGAGGAGGAGGAGACTGCCGCTCTTTCATTACAGTGCACCCCTGCTACAGGACAGCTAAACTTTGGGAAGGGGGGGGGGGCGGTGAGAAAGACCCTCATTAGTAAAGCGCTGAAGTTAAAAGGAGCGTGATTTGGAGCGGATCAGCAATCCTTTGCTATTGTTATACAGTTGTGGAGTTTTGTGATGCGTAACATGTTCAACAATATCTAATCTATAAGCAACCATATCTCCCTGACTGAGAAGGTAAGATAACAAGTGGATATGCAGCTGTAAATCAGTCATCCTTCAAACACCTTAAAGCACATTTTCATAAGAAATCTGACATTACAGGCTTACCACAGCCAGTCTTTATTGCAGGAGCATTGCATTGGATTGCAGGTGTTCATGTTATTGTGTCCACTCCCTGTATGTCGGTGTCAGAGAGAGTGCGTAAACAGATTTTGGATGGGTGCACCCTCCAGTGTCTCCTTCCTTTGGTAATTTAAATCGGTGATGTAATGAAATTGTTTCAGCAGCAACACTTGTCAGCCGCACCACATTAATTAGTGCTGTTCGACTTTTATTTTTTCTCTCCTTCTGGTGAATCCAAGCAGCGTTAAGTCATCTCAGCAAAGAATGAAAACAAGGCACGCTCGTTCAGAGTAGGTTACCTGATAAATTGTGAAAGAAAGAGGGCGAGGAATTAAAGCCATCTGCAACTGTTTGAAACTTGGAAGTGTGTGTGTGTGTGTGTGTGTGTGTGTGTGTGTGTGCGTGTGTGAGTTTTCTTTCCTTCTGTTGTCCCTCATGGGGCCTCTCAGCAACCAGCCAGCCAGGCTGCGAGACAAGACAGAAGAGTGTCTGATTCACTAAACAGGCTAAAGGCTCCAGTAGACTCACTTTCAAATCAAATTTAGGTTTTAAGACTGTTGAAGAAGGCGCTGGGTGCAAGTGCAAGTGTTATCACTGAGACTGGATTGTCTGGCCCTTGGTGCCATAATGTGAAGGAGGTAATGCCGGAAATATGCAGGGAGAAATCTTAATCGGAGGGACAGAAAGGCAAACACATGCGCTGGCAGCGCTACAAGTTACAGCTTGGGGAAGAGGACGTATGTTTACATGCAACAATATGTTTGTTCCCTAAACCAAACAAGGAGACAGAATGGAGGGATTTCTCTCTTCTAGCCACAACATTGGCCAATATGGCTTACAGATTTAATATTTATATCAGTTTTCAAAAATAAGAGCTCATAATGTTGAACCTTTTATTATCTTCTAGTCATTTTTAATAAATCAGGCTGCAACAAGTTATATCACAGATTTAAGTATCAGTTTCAAACACCTGCGGCTATTCTCTATACTCTCAAGATGATTATTCACAGAAGGCAGTAAGGCAGCGAATGCACCTTAGTCCATATCTTTGCACTTTAGTGAAGCAGCGAGCTTACACTGATTAGAAGCATGTACAGGAAAAACAACTAATTACTCGTGTCTGAGTAATTAGCTTTTTGTTACTCAGCAATTTACCAAGTTGCACAGTCTTTGCTGCTGTTTACTGCGTGTCGGCACAGCTGCAGCCTGCTAAGTGCTTAAAACCTGGCGAACGCTAATCAATGTTTTGACAGCCTGACATTTCATCTAACTGTTCGTGTTGGTTTGAGGGGCGCTGTGAAATACTTTCTGCCTGTTCACTTGACGTGGATTCTTGTAGTCTGGTGTCTCGCCATCAGCCCGAACCCACCCACTCGTGTCCCGGGCAGAAGTCAGTCATTGTTTCTGTCTCTTTCTCACTCTCTTTCTCTCTCTTTCTGTCTCACTTGTGGTTCAACTTGGCAGTACTTTTCATCTAGACAGAGCCTTTGTTTTTGAATGTGCCTATTTTGGTCTTTTTAATAAGGAAAAACTTGTGTTGCCTAAGAGAATTTTAAAGTCTAATTTTCAGAATAAGGGCTTAGAGGGAGTTACAACTTGAAATGTTCAAGTTTGAGCTGAGGTTGTGCCCTCGTGTCAGACACTTAACTACTTCCTAAACGTTGTTGTCATTCTACCCATAAGTCTGAAGTTAAGCTCTCTTCAACCTGGTAAATGCAGTCTAACTAATAAAGTGAAAATGAAGCACCCCAACAGATGTAATGACATCAGTTTGGTGCAGAGAGCCAAAAGTGGACCAACATGAGGCGCAGGGATAAGAAAACCTCAGCCCCCACACGCCTGTCTCCACTGTCCTTCAAGCCGCAAACCTTGCACTGTGGTTCGGTTTGTGGGTGAAACATGGTTGGTTTAAACTCCTTAGGTGGCTGAGAAGTCAGGGGTGTCATTGTGAATAAAGCTCAGTCCTAGCCTTTTAACCTTAAGTAGCAGAAAACAGCATTGTTTGGCAATCGACCAGGAACTATAGCTGTGCTGGGCTGCTTTCAGCTGTGTGGAACACGGCGGTGCTGTTTAGGAACGTGTGAACGCAGCAAACCCCTTCCTTGAATGAATAAACAATTTGGAAAAGGTGTATTCCACTTCTCACAAGCCTTTCCGACAAGTTCTCCGTATTAAATCAGTGTAATGTGCGTCTTTTGTCAGTTGTTGTATTATAGGATATCTGTTTAAGTGGTGTGTATAGGCAAAACATCAACTTAACTCCTGTTTCTGAAGAGCCGTCACTTCAACCTTGAGCTCTCCCAACATCGGGGAGGCGCAGTCTTCTAAGTGCTTTTTTTTTTTTCTTTCTGAGACAAGAGAGTGAAACAGAGTGCTGAGAGGGAGAGAGAGAGTGAAGAGAGAAAGTTACTGGCCCGCCCCTGTCACCGTCTCATGCATGTTTGATTTGATGTTCTTTGAGAAACGAGTGCAGGGGACGTCACAATGGCCATGTCCTGTTCCCATCCGTTGAGAGGCTGGGGGCCCTTGAATCATAAATGACACCCGGCCTCACCAGGAACAATATGAGAGTCGAAGCCCGCACAGGAGGAACAAAATGTTCCCTCTATCCATCCATCCATTCGCCCACCGCTGCCGCCTGCACTCAAGACTTCTCACCATCGCAAGCAATTACCCTCACTTTCTTATTTATTTATTTATTTATTTTGTACTGCTGATGAAATCCTCACAGAGCCTGTCTCAGCTGTGTGTCTGTGTCTGTGACGTGAGAGAGAAAGAGAAAAGGGGGTAGCGATAGTGAGGAAAAAAAGATAGTATGTGTCTGAGTGAGTGGCGTTGGCGTGTGTCTGTTTGGCTTGTAAATCCTGTTTAAGCTAAACAAACTCATTGTCCTCATCCTCCAACTGCGTGCTCTGTGTGTGTGTGTGCTTTCCCCCCCTCCCTCCTTTTCTCCGCGTCTCTCTCCCTCTCCTTTTGAGTTGTAAGTACAGTCACTAATTAGTCCCCTCTCCCTCTTCATGCTGGGTCAGTGGGTTTACGGTTTCAGCACTGATCTGCTGTGTTTGCCTTGTCTCTCCTGATACCGGTGCATGCCTGCAAGCCAGCACAGACTGCAGCCTCCTCCAAGAGGTCTTCACACCTTACACAGTGTCCCACATGGGTTCATTTGCTAGACAGCCTCTCAGGACTGTGCTTGGGCTCGCTCTCATGCAAGCTTGCCTGGTGCTTGAGTTCATGCCAGGTATTAGACTAACCAGTGCAGCAAAGAACCGTGCCTGCTGGGTTGAGTCAATAAGTTAAACCTGTCATGTTTTCAAACAGCAAATGCATTTTGAAGAGGATTCCAGATTATGAGAATTCATTTTTACATACACGTTAGCTACCCTCTTCTCAGCATGATGCAAATCTTTCTAGCTTATAGCCTATAATGAATCGTTTTCTAAAGATAATACGCCACAAGCTGTGTTTATAATATCAT